CTTGAACAGAGTAATAACAAGTAATGAAATTGAATCTGTTATAATATCAATTAATAAAATCAGTTATGAAAAGTCATATAACCAGTGTTTAAAAGCCTCCCAACAACAAAAAATTCCAGGACCAGATGGTTTCACTGTCAAACTTTCAAGGATGAACTAATATCAATTATCCTCAAACAACTCTAAAGTATTGGAGAATGGGAAATTCTCTAATTCATTCAACAAGACCCACATTACCCTGATACCAAAACCAGATAGGGGCACAACAAAAAACAAAAAGGAGAACTACAAGCCAATATCCCTGATGAACATGGATGCAAAAGTCCTCATCAAAATGTTAGCAAATTAAATCCAAAAGTGCATTAAAAGATAATATACCATAATTAAATGGGATTTATCTCAGGAATTTTAGCATGATTTAATATACACAAATCAATAAATGCGATACATCACATCAACAGAATAAAAGAAGAAAACATATAATTGTATTAAGAGACACAGAAAATCATTTGATAAAATAGTCCTTCAAAATAGAAACCCTCAACAAATTCAGCATAGAAGAAACATACCTCAACATAATAAAGACCATATATGACAATTCCAGAGCCAACATAATACTGAATGGGGGAAAGCTGAGAGCCTTCCTTTTTTTTTTTTTTTTTTTTTTTTTTTTTTTTGAGACGGAGTTTCGCTCGTTACCCAGACTGGAGTGCAATGGCGTGATCTCGGCTCACCGCAACCTCCGCCTTCTGGGTTCAGGCAATTCTCCTGCCTCAGCCTCCCGAGTAGCTGGGACTACAGGCATGCGCCACCATGCCCAGCTAATTTTTTGTATTTTTAGTAGAGACGGGGTTTCACCATGTTGACAAGGATGGTCTCGATCTCTTGACCTCGTGATCCACCCGCCTCGGCCTCCCAAAGTGCTGGGATTACAGGCTTGAGCCACCGCGCCCGGCCCGAGCCTTCCTTTTAAGAACAGGAATAAGGAAAGTATGCCTACTTTCACCATTCTGATTCATCATAGTACCAGAAGTTCTAGACAGAGAAATCAGGCAAGAGAAAGAAATAAAAAAATCCAAATAGAAAAAATGAAGTTGAATCATCCCTCTTTGCAGATAATATAATCTTATGTGTAGAAAATCCTAAGGATTCAAACAAAGAACTCCTAGACCTGATAAATTTTTGTAAAGTTGTAGGCTACAAAATAGCATATAAAGCATTTCTATAAACTAAGACTAAAATAGCTAACAAGAAATCAAGAAAGCAATTGCATTTTGCTACAAAAATAAAATAAAATAAAACATCTAGGAATAAATTTAACCAAGGAGGTGAAAGATTCCACAAGGAAAACTACAAAACTCTGATGAGAGAAACTGTAGATGACATAATCAATTGGAAAAATATTCCATGACTGTGGATTGAAATATTGAATCCCTGAAATAGCCATGCTTACCAAACCAATCTGTCAATATTATCCCTATAATATACCAACACCATTTCTTCACAGAAATGGAAAAAAATGAATTTTATTTGTATGGAAAATAAAAGTGCCTAATAGCCATAGCTGATCAAAAAGAACAAAGCTGGAGATATCACACTACTTAACTTCAAAACACATTACAAAGCAATACTAACCCAGTCAGCATGGTATTGGCATAAAAATAGACAAATAGACCAATGAAACAGAATAGAGAAGCCAGAAATAAATCCACATATTTCCAGAAAACTAATTTTCAACAAAGATGTCAAAAATATACAATGAGAAAAGGTGCTGAGAAATTTGGATATCCATATGTAGGTGAATAAAACTAGACTCTTGTTTCTAAGCCTATGCAAAATCAACTCAAGGTAGATTAAAGATTTAAACATAAGACCCCAACTAAAAATACTAGAAGAAAACCTGGGGAAAACTCTTCCAGACATTGACCTAGGCAAAAAACTTATGAGAAAAATTTCAAAAGCACAGGCAGCAAAATACAAAAAGACAAATAGAACTATATTAAACGAAAATGCATGTGCATAGTATAGGAGACAGTAACCGGAATAAAGAGACAACCTGTAACATTAGGGAAAATATCTGAAAAGTGGACTAATTTCCTATGAAACTCAAACAACGCAACACTAAAAAAAAAATCTCATTAAGTAGAGGGCAAAGGAAATAAATAGACATTTCCGCAAACATACAAATCGGTAACAAATATGTGAATAAATGCTCAACATCACTAATCATCAGGGTAATGCAAATCAAAACCATAATAAAGTATCATCTTATATTAGTCAAAATGACTATTACTAGGCCAGGTGTGGTGGCTCACACCTGTAATCTCAGCATTTTGGGATACCGAGGTGGGCAGATCACCTGAGGTCAGGAGTTCAAGACCAACCTGGCCAACATGGAGAAACCCCATCTCTACTAAGAATACAAAAAATTTAGCCCAGTATGTTGGCATATCCCTGTAATCTCAGCTACTCAGGAGGCTGACTCAGGAGAATTGCTTGAACCTAGGAGACAGAGGTTACAGTCATCCAGGATCCCTCTACTGCACCCCAGCCTGTGCGACAGAGCGAGATTCCATTAAAAAAAAAAAAAGAAAGACTATTAATAAAAAGACCAAAAATAACAGATGCTGACATGGCTGCAGACAAAAGGGAACTCTCAAACATTGAGTGGGAATGTGAAGTGCAGCCACTATGGAAAACAGTCTGGAGCTTTCTCAGAAAACTAAAATCAGAACTATCATACGATCCAGAAATCCTACTACTGGTTATTTATGTAATGGAAAATAAATCAGTATATCAAAGACATACCTGTCCTTGCATGTTTATTGTAGCACTATTCATAATACCAAAAATATGAAATCAACCTAAGTGTTCATTGACAAATGGATAAAGAAAATGTATAATATATACATACACACACACACACAAACGCACACACACACACAATGGAATAGTATTCTGCTATTGAAAAAATAATGAAATTGTGTCATTTGCAGCAACATGGACAGAGCTAGAAGTCATTAAGTAAAATAAACCAGACACTGAAAAACAAATATTGCATGTTCTTAGTCACATGTAATAGCCAAATATTTTGATCTAATAAAGGTAGATAGTAAATGTTAGATATTAGAGACTGGCAAGTGGGAGTCGGTGGGAGGAATGGATGAAGAGAAGTAAGTTAACAAGTAGAAACATACAGTTAGATAAAAGGAATGAGCTCTACTGTTTGATAGCTCTACTGTTTGATAGCTCTACTGTTTGATATGGAGTGACTATAGTGGCAACAACGAATTGTATATTTCAAAGTAGCTATAAGAGAAGACATGAATTGTTCTCAACACATAGAAATGATAAAAAGTGGTGGACACTTCAGATATCCTGACTTTATCCATACACATTCCATGCTTGTAACAAAATGTCACATGCACACCATAAATATATAAAATTTTATATATCAATAAAAATGTTTCAAAATATTTTTAAAAGGGTTCTTGGAGTAGTAAAAGCATGGAATTGGACATGAAATGTCAAAAATGTAAAGTAGGAGATTATCTGTATTTTTAAATTGCCCACTTTTCTGCTTGTCCGTGGAGTTGTCTTTTGCAGATAATGACTTCTTTTCACAAGGTGAGGAAGATTTTGCCATGACATTTGTACTTTGTGGAAAGTAAAATCAGTCTAATAATTTTATATGATACAGTTGTATCATTTCAAATATTGAGAAATGAGAATTTTAATCAATTTAAATGAAAACAAATTGCAAGTAAGTATTTCATTTCATTTTGCATCCCAATTGAGCAGACATATTAGAAGGGAGAATGTGCTTCGTGAGGTGGAATATACCAGATTGGTTGCTACACTGTGAAGTACCAGCATAGGTAAAAGTGAGATTTCATCAAAGTAATAGCACAGAAAGTAAAATTATAAACACTGGTCACTTTTTGTATGTATTTTCTTACACTTAAGGTCACAAATTATTATTTCCAGGAGTAGAGATCAATAGGACAAAAGAGTTTTTATTGTAAAACATACAAGAAGCAAAATCATTTATAAAACAAAAATAACCTACTGCAAAATGTCTGTATGCATTTAGACACTATTTAAGTGTATGTACTAGGATAGTGATGTTCAAAATGAAAGCCACAGGTCTCCTGTGAATAATGAGCACTTGAAATGTGATTAAGGGGCCAAAAAAGCAGAATTTTAAATTTAATTTAAGTTTCATCAGTTTACATTTCATAATGGCGTCTCAATTTAGTTATTGGAAAATGTATAAGGAAGGACATTGGGAACAAATTGAGCATGTGAACCTACTTTCTCAATGTTTAATTTTATCAACTCTAAATACAGATCATGTATTCGTGATGACAATCTAGTATAGGGATTGAAATGTATAAAATTGTTAAATAGTATGAAAACAACTTAGTACTAAAAAACAATGTAAAATAGCTCATAAACAATTTTATACTGGTTATATGTTGGGTCACATTTTGAGTATGTTATGTTAATAAAAATTTACTATTATATATTTATTATATATTTAACAAGAAATAAATGACATACATTATCAAAATTAATTTCTTAATCTTTATTTTACTTTTTAATGTGATTACAAAATTTATAATTGCATGTCTTACATTATACTTCTATTGAATAGTTATTATGAAATAACGTATAATACCTGTCATATATCTGAAACTAATTTTCATGTCTCCTCTCCCTCACTCTCTTGAACTAAATTATTAAATATACTGTAAGATACTTTAAAAGAACCATTCATGCTTTAATTTCCCTTACATTTTCTTATTACTTTCTCAATCCCCTAACTAGAAGCTGCTTTCCCCAGAGTATGTAGCACAATGACAGGTATCTATACTTGTATGTGTTGACTATTTTCAAACCTTTGATATAGTAAAAAAGATGATAAAAGCAAATCTAAAACCAACTCTTATTTGCCTAAAACCTTTTACTTAACAACAAAACAAAAATAAAGATCTTACTTGGAGAAATGGTTTTGAAAGCAATCATGCAATTGATATTTTAAATGTAATTCAGCATTTTAATCTTGGCTCCAATAGTTCAATATCAGTAAGATTCACATGTTGTCTACTCCCATTAGGTTAAATCTCTGCAGTCACATATTATCTTTACCTGTCGGGTTTAATACAAGAAAGAAAATAATCTGTTTTTTGGGTTTAATAATTCAGCAATGTTTTCTTTTTCAAAGTATCATATAATAACATTGATTATATTTGGGTGCGGAGTTTTAGATTTTAATACATCTACAGATCTGAAACTACTGCCACAATCAAGATACAGAGCAGTAACAGTACTACTAAAATCCTTGGTATAATCCCTTGACAGTCACACTCTAATCCAATTCCTAACACTCGGAAAACACTGATCTATTTTCTATCACTATTATTTTGCCTTTTTCAAAAGTGACATATGAATGGACTTATCCACTATGCAATATTTTGAACTGGTCTTTTAAAATTTAACGTATTGCCTATGATGTTCGTCCAAGTTGTTGAACATATCAATAATTTGTTGACTTTAATTCCTGAGTAGTATTTCATTGTGTGAATGTACCATATTTGATTATCTATTCTACCACAGAATATTTGCATTTTTGAGGGTTGGACAATTATGAATAGGCACTTTTTTGTAAAGTTAAACATGCACGTGCTATTTACACTACAGAATAAAACATATCCACAAAAAAACTCCACACAAATTTATTTTTATTTTAAAACATTAATATTTTCAATATATTTGTCATTCATTTCTAGTTTGATTTCAGTATGACTTGATAACATTTTGTATTCATTCAATTCTTTAAAATTTGTTAAACTTATTTTATGCCACAGAGAGAGTTTATACAGGTGAATGATTCATGTGCATCTTAGAAAAATGCATATTCTCCTGTTGCTTTGAGTAATATTCTATAGATGTCAATTAGATCTATTCGGATGATGATGTCATTTTGTACTTATATATTGTTGTTAGTTTCTGTCTACGATTTATATCTATTACAGAGAAAGGCGTGTTGAAGTCATATTTGATAGTTGCATATTTATATATTTTTTATTTCCACCTCTCAGTGTTTGTGCTATATATTTTGAAGTTCTGCTATTGGTCACCCGTCTATTTAGGACTGTTATGTATTTTGGTGAATGAAAATTTTTATCATTAAGTAACAGTCCTCTTTATCATAGGTAGTTTCTTATGTTTCATATTTCCTTCTTATATCACTTCTTTGTGTAAAGAGTTTGGTTTAGCATTTATTTTATATCAGATATGCTGAAAACACGTTCTCTTAGTTTTAATTTTTTTGAGAAGTTCTTTATTTTCATTCTTGATAGATGTTTCTGCTGGTTATAAACTTCAGAATAATGGTTCTTTTCTTTTAACACTTGGGTCATTTTTCTTTTACTTCCATAGTTTCTGAAATAAAATCCTGTCATTCAAAATGTTTTTCTCCATTGGTAATATGTCATTTTTTATTTTCTCTTGGTGCTCTTGAAATACTTTGTTTTTAGTTTATAGCAGTTTGATTATCATGTGTTTTGGTGTGAATTTGTATGAGTTTATCCTGTTTGGGAACTTATGGACTTTTTGAATGAATCCAAACATTTATGTCTTTTGATAAAATTTGGAAGTTTTCTATCATTCTTTCTTCAAATCCCATTTCAGCACTATTTTCTCCTATCTTTTTGGAAGTTAGATAACACAAATGTGAGATATTTCCTGTTAGTCCCAAAGACCTCTAGGCTCTGCTTATTATTTATTATTAAAATATTTTTCTTTGTTGTTCAGATTAGACAATTTATATTGCTAGATCTTAAGTTCACTCTTTCATTCTCTCATCTTTATTTTCCTATTTATCCAGATCAGTGAAGGTTTCATATTTATTTTTACAGTCTTAATTATAAAATTCTGTTTGGTCTTCTTTATATTCTCTATTTCATTACCAAACTTGAAATTTTTTCATTTTTTATTGTTCATAATTGCTTGTTGGATTATTATTTATGAGTTAGTTAAATACTTTGGTAGAACATTTCAAATCTTTGTCAATTCATTGTTTGTAACATCTGATTGTCTATTCCCATCTTAGTTTGATATTTCCCTTGTTTTTATATTTTTCTGAGTAATTCTGGGTTATATCCTGTATACTTTTATTATTATATTATAGAGCTCTGGCTTTTATCTAAATTCTATTTTTTTAATTTAATTGGTAACATGCCCTATTAGTTTCAAGTCACTAGTTCCAAAATGCTTCTGTGAGTTGTGGTTTTAATATCTGTTCATTTTTTAATTTATTTGCACTACTAATCCATAGCCATCTCGGTGTGCACTATTCTGTAGTCAACCTGGGTCCTTGGTTGTGATCCATTCTCAAAGTCTTTGGTATGCTGATTAGGATCAGGTTCATGTATGTGAAGTTGAGATGAAACCAGTAGATCTTAAACAATTTTGTGAGTTTATCTCTTGGGCTTTTCTTTCTCTGTATAAATACCCTGGGTACTTTAAAACTCCCAGGAGCTCCCTTTGCCAGCCATAGGAGGACAGAGGGGGAAAAAAAAAAACTGCAAGTGGGTTCCGCACTGTCTTTGAGAATTAGAAATTTCATTCTCTAATCCTTTATGTAGAACTAGAGAAGTATTCTTGGCTCTAGCTCTGTTTGTGCCTTGATGGGCTTCTATGTAGATGCACTTTGATAACAATCGGTAGTCAAATTCAGTGTCCTAAATTAGCATTTCTTAGAAGAACCACATGTGCAATTGAATACTGCAGACGCATGCTCTTTCCCTGGCTATCTTACCCCACAATAGCTTTTAGTTTACCCTTCTCACCTCCCCTCACCACAGCCTGCAAGATTAATAAGATAATGCACCTAATAAAAGTGTGTGGAGCCCAGAGCTCAGGGCCAACGTGGTCCCTGCACTTGCGTTGGTCCCCAGACCCATACTGTGAAACAAGACTCATGTCTTTGGCTTTATTTCTTTTCTCACTCCCTCATCACCACCTGGACTAAGGGCACTCACGTACAGGGTTGGGGCTGGTACCCAACAAAATCGACAATAATAACCTGAAAAGAAACAGTTTTGTCTATGGGGCTTGACTTTAATTCCAAATATGAAGACCTAACCCGGGGGCACTGAATTTGATGGTGAAGGCTTAGAAAGACGAGGGGTCACTATGATTTTCTTAATTTTATACAAATGTGCTTGATTGTCTACCAAGGTGGGTTGTGTGAAATGCTTATTTGCTTAAGGAGCATAGCTCTTCTGGCTTTCAGAAAGGGAAGAAATTCCTTTAGAATAGGCACTGCTTAAACTAAACCTGGACTTCTTGCTACATGGATGATATGACCAGTAAGAGGGATTTTTCTTTCTGTTTGTTATTCTCACTTATGTTATTTGGCACCTTTCAGATTCTGAAGCTCAATTAATAAATAAATGATTCTTTGCATGGACATAATCTAAAACACTTGGCTTGCTGAAAACATGCACAAAAATGGTACTCACATAGAATTGTGTAGAGTAAATTATGTTTGAGGAGAGTTTTCCAAATGCCACTTACTGACATATACTTGTTTAAACAACTAGAAGAGTCATACTACTGCATTCAAGATTAAAATATATTGTAATAAATTTTTCATTATAATAATACCACTCCATTGTTTTCTCCAAACATCATTGAGCAAAACCATCTTGATTACATTTGACTTGTAGGTTATATAATTACAGCTATTGCATGCTGCCATGAGAATGTGAGAACTCTGTAAGTTCAGAATAGGCATAGGTTTGAAGGAATTAAACTCAGAAACAGCAGAATTTAGGTTCCAGAAATGTGGGGTTTGAGTTGGACTTTGATTAGAAAGAGAGAAATTCATAGTGCAAGACAGTAAAGTTGACAGATTACTGTTCTAACAAATTTGAATACAATTACAATAATCAAATCACTCTCTGTATATGAAGAATACACAAAATAAATCTCACTAACCTAATTTTTTAAGTTTCTTTCCATTTTGCTTCTCCAATTCCCTTTCTTTGACAATGAAAGGTAGCAGATGAATGAGACCAAGTTCCCCTCATACACAATATCCTTCAAGTCATGAATTAAAACACTGAAGGCCTTAGTGACTCTCTGTGGTAGTTTTAAATTTCAAACTCTTAAAGTGTTCTCCGAGGAGAAGTTACTTTCCTCCTCCACAATGGGATGAAGATTTTTGTTTTTGCTTTGAGACGGACTTTCACTCTGTTGCCCAGGCTGGAGTGCAGTAGCATGATCACACTTACTGCAACCACTGCCTCCCGGGCTCAAGAGATTCTCTTGTCTCAGCCTCCCAAGTTGCTGAAATTACAGGCACCCACCACCGTGCTTGGATAGTTTTTGTATTTTTAGTAGAGATGGGGTCTTGCCCTGTTGGCCAAGCTGGTCTTGAATTCCTGACCTCAAGTGATCCACCCACCTCAGCCTTTCAAAGGGCTGGGATTACAGGCATGTGCCACTGCACCCAGCTGGGATGGAGTTTTTAATGAACAACACAGACAGCATTCTCCACATTTCAATTCTATTTGGAGTAACTGATGCATAAACTCATTTTTAACTCAGGATCCCTAAGTTTTTAAAGTAGTTTGCAAGGTATTTTTAAATAATGTTTAAATTGTACCTTTTTGATGTCACTACAATTATTTTCAAAGTGTCCATATTTTACCTGCATTTCTGCTCTAATTTCTCTCCTTGCATTTCCAAACAGCTGTTCCTTCCTCTTTCAACTGCTCTTGTTTCATAAGCACCACTAATGAGCCAGTGCGAAGTCTACTGATGTCCCATAAGCCGGAATAAATGTGAGGCAATTTTAAACATTACTTTTATTTGTACATCATTTAAATTTGGAATCCAAAATGAAAAATACACACACACATGCACACACAGATTACGGAAGCTAATTTTTCTCATTTTACTCTTAAGCATGAAAAATAATGCTTGGTTTCTGTGCATATACATAAACATATACTATTTTTGTAAAGATATTGAATACACAAAATTTAAACAAAATAAATTTAAAAGCTTCATGTGTACATAGAAATTTTCCATTTATGAATGTAAAAAGCAGGCATGTGATTAAGATACTATATTCT